TTTTGTGCCTGGTTTAGGTCACTTAGCTCAAGGTCGTCAAGGTCCACCCATGGTGGCTCGGTGCGGATGTCCTTGCTTTTGAAGGCAGCCTAATATTCCCTGTGAGGAGGGTCAGCCCTGCGTGTCTCCCTCCCGACCTCTTGGCTGCAGTGCCGCCGTGGCGAGCCTGGGTGTGCAAGTGTGTCCCGGGGAGCCTGCTTCCCCTCTGAGGGCGGCCGGAGGGGACGAGCTGCATCCAGCGTTAGTCCTGTTTGTGTGTGTTTGCGGGGCGGCTGCGCTTTCCCTGAACCCGCATCCCGGACGCTGCGCGGCCCTGCGCAGGGTCCCGCTCGCCCTGCCCGCAGTGCCGCCCAAGAGCGAGGGCTCCTCTCGCGGTGGCGACGCCGCGCAGTTTACAGTCTGCCAGGCGCACGTCGGTGCTGAAGAGAAGCCACAAAACGGTGACCACACAGTGGGCGCCCGTGGGCGCGCTCCCGTGCCAGGGGCGCCAGCCGGGCGGTAGATGCGGAGTCGCTGCGCCCCCAGAGCGCGGGCACCCTGCCTCTCCACCTCGCCGCGCGCTTCACGCAGTGCGGTTCTTTAGTGTCGTCACTTTTATTAGATAAAGACAGGGCTCAGAGGAGCCGCGGCCCTAGGACTGCGGTCGGCGCGGACGAGGCCCCGCCCCGCGCTAGGTTCACCCACAAGCCCCGCCCCCAAGCGGGACCCACAAGCCCCGCCCCGCGTAGCGACACCACAAGCCCCGCCCCGTGTAGCGTCACCCGCAAAGCCCCGCCCCGTGTAGCGACACCACAAGGCTTCGGCCCCGCGCCAGTGTCACCCACAAGGCCCCGCCCCGCGGTAGGTTCACCCACAAGCCCCGCCCCGTGAGCGTCACCACAAGGCCCCGCCCCGCGCCAGCCTTCCGGAGCCCGCGACCGCCGCTCTCCAATCCGGAGCCCGCGGCCGTCGCTCTGCACTCCGGAGCCGAGGCTCAGCTTCTCCCCTCCCGCCGCGAGCCCTGTCCTTGCTGGGGTTCCCGCTCCGGGTCTGACCCCAGCCGCCCAGCAGAGGGCGCGCTCACCTCGATGCCCGCTTCTGCCTGGGGTGCAGAAGCTCCCAGGGTCCCGAGAATCCCCTGAAGTGGGGCTTAACGGGGTGATCACCTCGATGTTCCTCTTTATTCTTTGCTGGCACTGGGGATGGAACCCAGGGCCTTTGCACTGAGCTGCATGCCCAGCCCTTTCTATTTATTTTGAGACAGGGTCTGCTGGGCTTAAACTTTTGCGACGGTCCTGCCTCATCCTCCCAGAGCGCTGGGACTCCGGACTGCGCCACCAGCCCGGCTCCAGGGTGTCTTTAAGGCGCCTGGCCGACTCCCCAGCGGGCCCATTCACCGACGCACCCGCTTGGAAAAGCGCGCGCCCCTCGGTGCGCGCCCCTCGGTGCGCTTGGAAAAGCGCGCGCCCCTCGGTGCGCGTCGTGACCCGGACGGGTCCGGCAGGCCAAGACCCCGGGAGGGCGAGGAGCCGCAGACTCGGGTCGCTCGCGCTCGTCCCCTGCTCCGCCGCGGTCGCCGCCAGACGTGGTGCGGGGCGGGGC